GCTGAGGCCTCCAGTGTTGGCAATTGGAGGCTGTAGGGTTCTGGCATCTTACCTGGTGTTGGTCTGGTATCAGCAAGGCTGGAACTCTCGGGCAACTTTAGGTTGCCTGCTTTTCCTTTCCTTTAGCTTTCTTCAACTCCTTTTGGATGGATGGGTGATTTAGATGGGTGTTTATCTGCCTGGGGCCCTTTGTAGTACTGCTTTCCTTATTTTTGCTGAGGCACTGGGAAACCTGGTTGCTGTAGAATGCTGAGGCACCTGGTGGTTTTCCAAGCTGGTTTCCACTGGTTCCCTCACCCTCACTGAGGTACTCAGGCGTCCAGGTGTTGGTGTTTGCCTGGTCCACCACCTGGGTTTCAGGATATCCTCCTAGTATGCTGAGGTAGGACTTTCAGCTAGCTTGCTGTACTGCTTCCCTTCCCCAAGGGCAAGAGGGGCCTTTCCTGTTAATCCTTCAGGCCACCTGGGCTACAGGACTCCCTCCCTCCCTTTCCTTCCTCCTCCCCAAGATGGCAAGCAATATAATATAGATTATACATGTGTAATCATGTAAACATATTTCACTTATTCATGTTGTGAAAGAAGAAACAGAACAAAATGGAAAAGCCAGAAGAAACAAAAAAACAAGAAAAAGCAAAAATAGTATGCTTCAATTAGCATTCAGATTCCATAGTTGTTTCTCTGGATGTGGATAGCATTTTCTGTCATGAGTCTTTTGGAATTGCCTTGGATCATTGTGTTGCCGAGAAGAGTTAAGTCAGTCATAGTTGATCGTTGCACGATGTTGCAATGTGTTGTACTGTGTATGGTGTTCTCCTGGTTCTGCTCACTTCACTCAGCATCAGTTCATGTAAGTCTTTTCAGGTTTTTCTGAAATCTGCCTGGTCATCATTTCTTATAGCACAATAGTATTCCATTACAACATTTCACAACTTGTTCAGTCATTCTCCAATTGATGGGTATTCCCTCAATTTCTAATTCTTTGCCACCACAAAAAGAGCTGTTATAAATATGTTTGTATGTGTAGGTCCTTTCCCTCTTTTTATGATCAGTTTGCAATACAGATGTAGTAGTGGCATTGCTGGATCATAGGGTATGCACAGTTTGATTACCCTTTGGGGCATAGTTCCAAATTGCTCTCCAGAATGGTTAGATCAGTTCACAGCTCAACCAACAATCATCAGTGTCTCAATTTTTCCACATCTTCTCCAACATTTGTTATTTTCCTTTTCTGTCATATTAGCCAAACTGATGTGATGTGATGTGGTACCTCAAAGTGGTTTTGATTTGCATTTCTCTAATCAATAGTGATTTAGAGTTTTTTTTCATATGGCTATAGATAGCTTTATTTTCTTCTTCAGATGTGCTTTCAAAGAAATGATTGATAATATCCTGAGTAAACACCATAACCATCATGCAAGTTAATCATCTAATAGCTATTCAGAAGCACATAACTTTTCATAATTCTGCCATTAAGTAGATGACCTTGAGCAAATCATTTAACTACTCTTGAGTCTCAGTTTTCTTGTTTGTAAAATTCAGTTCAATCATTTATCAAGTGCCCACTCTGTGCCTGCTATACTGGAAACTTGGAATACAAAGATGAGGATAAATTGTCCCAGCTTTCAAGGAATGATTAGTTATTGTACTATCTTACTCATTGGAGTGGTATGAACTAGTCTTCCATCAGTAAGAATGGTGATTATTATTTTTAAAAATGTGCCATATTCAATTTTAGGCAAAATAACCTTGTCAGTGTATAATATACATGTGAAGTTGACCAAAAGTTTTTTTTGTAAATTTATACAATTTGCCTTTATCAAGCTGAAAATATTTTCTATTTGTAGAAGATGCCAGTTGATATTAATGAAACCCTAAATATTGAATTTTAAAAAAAGTAACTCATTTAACACCTATTTTGTGACTAGTAATATTTAATTTACATTCTCATGTTTGTACTTGTAAATCTCTCCTTTTAAATATGGTTATTTAATAAAGAAAATAATTTCAATTACTGATCAAATATGTAACAAGTAAAGTAATTTTTAAGCTAAAAAAAAGCAAGCTAACTCCCAAATATTAAACTACCCATGAAAAGTATCCTATGTATGTTTGTCTGGTTCTTAAATGTGCTATATGTGTCAGATATATAATATAATGTGTCATACCACTTTAGGATTGTCTCAGTCACTATTTTAAACCTTTTATCAGTTCGTAACATACCGGTGAATGTCAAACATTATGACACACCTGCAGATTTGCATCAAAGGAATGAGTGGTGTTCTTTCTTATCCTGTCCTCTAGCTATATACCAATTTAGATTTCTGTCTGAAGGCAGGGCAAATTTGGGTTAAATATAAGGAAAAAATTCCTAACTTAATCCCAGTAAATGTTCACCTATCCAGAACAAAATCAAGTCAAATAATCAGAATTTTTATCTGTTCTAAATAATGATAATTAATGTTCACTGATTTAATTCAATATTTATTTATTGTAAAATTCATTATATTAAATTAAACAGTGACCTAGCAGGGATTTGGGATATAGGAGTGGCTTTTAAGGATTAATTTATTAAAGAACCAATGAGCTGGCAGGGAGTTGATAGTTTCAGAGTACTCTGCAATGGTCACTCCATTTTCTCATAGAATCTCAGGACTGGAAGAAGTTTCAAGTAGAACCTATACTTGATTTTTTTTGGAGGGGGCTAGGCAATGGGATTAAATGATTTGCCTAGGGTAACACAGCTAGTAAGTGTTAATGTGTCTGAGGCCAAATTTGAACTCAGGTCCTCCTGAATCCAGGGCTGGTGCCCTATCCACTGTGCCACCTAGCCGCCCCTAGAACCTATACTTGAACCACCATCTCCTTTATACTTTTACTAACAAATGTCATTGGGACTATTACATACAGTTCTAGTTATTGCGTTTTAGGAAGAATAGTGACCAATTGGATCATATTCAGAGGATAAATCATGGAATTAAACCTTTGACAGATGAGGAACATTTGAAGAACTGAGAATGCTTAGCTTGCAGAAGAGAAGGTATAGATGGCCTATGATTTGAAAATTTGTCATGTAGAAAGGAAATAAGGAAATTAGATTTGGTGGGGGATTTTTGTCCAAGAAAACAGAACTAGAAACAACATGAACTATTGGAGAACAAATCCAGAGGTCAAAATAAGGAAAAAAACACACAACGTTTTTTAAACAATCAGACTTGGCCAAAAGTGGAATGAGCTTACCTGAGAGGACTCATCATTGGAGCTTCATAGAAGAAGCTGGGTAATCACTTATGAGAGATGTTATGGGCAAGATTCATGCATTAGGTAGGAGTTGGAAGATATAACCACCGAGATCCCTTTTAATCAGAAGACTCTATAACATTAAAAATAAATTCAGAATCCCTAAGGAACTTGATTTGTCATTTAATCCAACTATACTTGAAGAAGAATTTTCCTCTTTACAACATCTCTGACAAGTGAACATCCTTCATTTTCAAGATTTCCTATGAAGAGGAACCCAGTATATCTCTGGATATCATGTTCAATTTTTTGATATATCTTATTGGCAATGTTGTTTCATGCATGTCCAACTCTCCGTGACCCCATTTGGGGTTTTCTTGGCAAAGATGGTAGAATGGTTTGCCATTTCCTTCTCAAGCTCATTTTTCAGATAAGGAGCTAGGCAAACAGGGTTAAGTGATTTGCCCAGCTAGTAAGTGTCTCAGGCCAGCATTGAACTCAAGTCCTCCTGACTCCAGGCCCAGTGCTTTATCCACTGCAAGGATTTCCGTTCCTAAATGCCCTGGAGAAGAAAATGACAAACCACTCCAGTATCTTTGCCAAGAAAACCACAAAAAGGAGTCACAAAGAGTTGGACGCGACTGAAAATGACTTAAGCAATAACATACAAGGTACTATACTGGGTACGAAAAGAGTTATAAAACCTTTTAACAAATGGACATAATATAACAGTATGAAAATATGTAAGAAAGACACACACAAAGAAGTATGAAAATTCAGAGGAATGGATGATTTCTGGCTTGGAGGATCAGGGAAAACTAAATGGAGGAGGTGGCGTTTGAACTGGGCCTTGAAAGTAGGAAGGATTCCAACTGCTAAAGGTAAATCGTGGGCAATTTATTGTGGGTAGAAGAAATTACATGGGCAAAGTAACATAAATAAATAGTGAAGAGTAGGAGGAAATATTTTTTGGAGTCAGACTGAAGGGAATATTGAGTTGTTGAGTGAAGATTCTAGACTGTTTGGTGGACAATGGGGAGCCACGGAAAGTTTATATGAAGGTCCTTACGAATTTATTAAAAAAGGAGAATAAAATTTAAATGGAAAAGGGAAAAAACATTTTTTTTTAGTAATGATTCTGTTAACCTCACACTGATTTACTATAGAAAATCTAATCAGATGTAGTAATTTTATCAATATAAAATAATATTGGTGTATTAGTGGTGTTTTATTGTGTAAATAATATAAAATATAATATGTAATATAAAAATGAGAAATTATATTTTAAGAATAAATTCTGTCTTCACTGATTATTTTTAACTTTCCTGTTTATGCATTGTTTCTTAAGAGGCATTCACAATAAGAATTACATTTATATCAGGGCTTTTTTTTCCCTTATGAAACTAAATAAAGATTTTATGTATGACAGCCAAGGTAATTTCCAGTATCACAATCATGACCCCTGGGGCTTCCTCCAAAATTGAGCACAGTCTGAGGTGGTAGTTAAAGAAAGATTTAACAATATCTATCACTGTAACGTAAAGTATAATGAAAGTGCTTTAAGGTATTTATGACGTTACCATGGAGGTCAGAATAATGAAGCATTATGTAAAGTAAACTTACATTATTTACAGTGTAATGTTAATTTCGAAGTATTACCCCCCCAATTTCTCATTAGCTAAAATGTTTAGATGCAAATTTGAACCAGATGTGATGATGTATTTTTAGTGTATTAATTATTATGTGATTTTTTTTTTTAGTTGGAGTATCAGGAGGGATTCAACCATTTGTTCCACAATTACCTCAAATGGTGGTATATGGTACTTTTATACCTCTGAATTTGTTTGAAAAGAAGATCTTTACACTAGAGAAAATGGTAAGTGAGTAGTGGACTCACTACAATTTGATTATATTTTAAATCCTAGTGTTTCAGCTTCATGTAGTGAAGAACAAGGAGAACTGGACCTATGAAAATTCAGGATCCAGTATTGAATTTTGCCCCTAATTCATGGTGAAACTTTGGCCAAATCAGTTGATTCACTCACCTAAATCTTAGTTACCTCATCTGTAAAATGGAGATGTGTTATTAAACTCGTTTACAATTAGGATTACTCTCCAAGCCCCTAGGCAAAAAGCCTATTTTCCTTGGGGAAAGTCCAACCCTTCCTTTATGTTACTTTGTTTATTATTATTTGGCATCTATATCTTTTATTCCTAAAAGACTGTATGCTGAGTCCTCTGGTAGTTAAACTTAGGACTAATAGAATCTATGAATGTTTGTTTTGTGTGGTTAGAAAGAACTTCTATAAATATTGAATACAGATTAGGTTGAAGTGGAGATGCCCCAATGTAGTGACTATTGGATGTACAATTTACAATTTGCATTTAAATTTGCCTTCTGGATGAAGTGCCTTGTTGCAAAATATAAATCATCTCTGCTGCTCTCTCAGGCTGGGGCTACCTCTTTCTTCCCTCACTACTATGTTGCTGGAATAATAGGATTTATAGATGAGAAAGAACCTTAGAGGTCATCTGGCCAATTATTTTGTTTTACAAATGATGAAACTGAAACCCTGAGAAGTACAGATAGATAATAAGTGGCAGAGCGAGTGCTCAAGCCCAGGTCTCCTGATTTCAAGACTCACGCCCTTTCCATTGCATTATGCTGCCTCTCTGAGGCATGATGTTAATTCTGTAGAACTACATTGTGTGGTATTAAAACAAAAAGGATAACATTAAACTGTGGCATGATTAAGAGTAGGTACTAATTTTTCCCAATTATATGCCAATAAATTTAACAATTTAAGTGAAATAGAAGAATATTTACAAAAATATAGACTTAGATTAGCAGAAGAGGAAATAGAAAATCTAAATAGACCTGTTTTAGAAAAAGAAATTGAACAAGCCATAAATGAGCTTCCTAGGAAAAAAAACATTATGACCAGATGGTGAATTCTATCAAAAATTTAAAGACCAACTAATCCCAATATTAAATAAATTATTTGGAATAATAGGTAAAGAAGGGGTCCTACCAAACTCCTTTTATGAAATAAATATGATATTGATACGTAGACCAGGAAAACTAAAAAACAGAGAAAGAAAATTATAGATCAATTTCATTAATGAATGTGGATATGAAAATCCTGAATAGGATTCTAGCTAGGAGATTACAACAACATATTACAAAGATTGTACAATGGGACCAAGTGGGATTTATACCAGGAATACAGGGATGGCTTAACAGAAGGGAAATTATTAATATAATTGATTATATCAATAACAAAAGTAACAAAATCATGTGATTATATCAATAGATGCAGAAAAATCTTTTGATAAAACACAACATTCATTTCTATTAAAAACACTTGAAAGTGTAGGCATAAATGGGTTTTCCTCTAAATTGATAGGAAGCATTTACTTAAAATTATCAGCAAGTATTATTTGTAATGGGGATAAGCTAGAAGCCTTCCCAGTAAAATCAGGTGTGAAATAAGGATACCCACTATCATGAATATTATTCAATATTATATTGGAAATCCTAGCAATAGCAATAAGAGAAGAAAAAGAAAATTGAGGAATCAAAATGGGCAATGAGATAATAAAACTCTTTTTGCAGATGATATAATGATGCAAATTAGAGGAGAATGGAAGACAGTGAGATCCATGGGTAGGGGAGGAGAGTTCATTACCAAATGAGATAGAGAGGTTAACAGGAGGTAAAATGGACAATTTGATTATGTATAATTAAAAAGTTTAAAACAAATCCAAATGCAGCTAAAATTAGATGAGAAGCAAGAAATTAGGGGAAAAAACCACTGATAACTTTTAAATATATGTAGGGAAATGACTTGATAAATGACCTAAGGATATGAATACTGTTCTAAATTATTAATAATTAAAGAATTATAAATCTAAAAAAAATCTGAGGTACAACCTCACATCTATCAGATTGGCAAAGTTGACAAAAAAGGCAAATGACAAATGCTAGAAGGTACATTAAAGCATTGTTGGGGGAGCTGTGAACACATCTAGCCAATCTGAAAGCAGTTTGGAACTATGTCCTAAAAGCTATTAAACCATGCATACTCTTCGATCTAGCTGTATTATTGCTAGATCTACACCCCAAAGAGATCAAAGAAAGAAGATAAAGGACCTATATGTACAAAAATATTTGTAGCAGCTCTTTTCATGTTGGCAAAGAATTGGAGACAGAGAATGACTATCATTTGGGGGGTTGGCTAAACATGGTATCATAAATGTTTGTGATGGAGTGCTATTGTGTTGTAAGAAATGATGAAGGAGATGGTTTTTAGGAAAGCCTGAGAAGAATTATATGAACTAAAGCAAAGAGATCAGTAGATCCTGGAAAACAATTTATATAGTAGCAACAATGCTATAATGACAAAAAACTTTGAAAAGCTCAGAACTCTGATCTATATAATGGTACCAATTACAATTCCTGAATACTCATGATAAAACATGCTATTTTAGTTCAGATAGAGAGATGATGGACTCACCATGCAAATTGGAGCATTTTTTTGACATGGTTAATGCAGGAATTTGTTTTGCTTCACTATACATATTTTTATTTTTCTTTCATTCTTAATAGGTAAGGGAGAAGAGATAGGAAGGACAGAACATGGAAGAAAATAAAATAAAATTGAATGAAAATAACAATGTATTACTATACCTCTCTTACCAAATCCCTTTCAACAATTGTCATTTTTCTTTTTTTTGTCATCCTTGTCAATCTTATTGGTATGAGATAGAACTACAGTTTAAATTTTCATTTGTCTTATTATTGATGATTTGGGATATTTTATGTCATTCTTGATAGCTTCCTTTTCTTTTGAAAAATGCTAATTAATGTCTTGTAACTGAAAATTCATCCATTAGGGAATGGCCGTTGTTATAGATTTGAATTAGTACTCTGTATATTTTGAATATTAGACCTTTATCAGAGAAATATACTGTAAAGATTTTCCATTGTCATTTTCCCCTTCTAATTTTAACAGCATGAAATTTTTTTATGCAAAAAACTTTTCAATTTTATATAATAAAAATTGTCCATTTTTTTCCTGTGATCCTCTCTTTCCCTCAAAAAGTCTTTCCCCATGTGTAGTTGTGAAAGGTATCACCTTCTTTGCCCTTCAAATTTGTTTGTGATGTGATAGATAGGTTTTTTATAGATAGGTTATATGTTCATTTGGAGCATATTATGGTTGACCTACTAATTTCTGCCATATTGTGTTCCACTTTTCCTATGAGTTTTTATTGGATGATGAGTCCTTACACCAGTAGTAGGTTTCTTTGGTTTTATCTAATATTGTTCACTTGCTTCTGGATCTTCTGTAACAAATATAATCCATTGATCAACTTTTCTCTTTCATTATGCTTCATTTAATGTAGCCTAAAACTTTAGCCTAGGGGCCATGTTGGACATGGACTCTGTCACCCATTGTTTTAGTTCTCCTTTCCAGGTTTTGGATCATCTGTGAAACTGATTTGCATATTTAATGTATCTGGGACACTATAATAGAGAAAGTCTACATTTGCATCTAATTGTTGATGATTATAGTTAAAACTAATTTGAGCCCAGTCATTTTTCTGCAGCACTTACCTGATCTACCAGCCTAGTAACTCTACTACTAGGCAAATTAAATTGCCCTTTAGTGACTTTCCTTGAAGCCATATTGATTATTTGTTATCACTCTTCCCTTTTTTATGTGTTGCTGGTTATGCATTTTATAAAAGAGCTGAGTCTTGAAGGAAGCTAAAGTTTCTAAGAGGTAGAGGTAAGGATTAACTGCATTTGAGATGAAGGGAGTAATTAGGCAAAAGCACAGAGATAGGAAATAAAATGCCAAGTTCAAGAAACAAAGTAGTAGAGTTTGGCTGGAACATGTAGCCATACAATTAATATATCTAATTAGCCAAAGGTAATTTAGTCTGACTTAGTTAGGAAGGGTTGGAAAAGTCTTTAAATGCCCCAAAGAGAAGATTGTATTTTATTTTCTTCTAGGGACAATGGGAGGTGACTGAAGGTTATTGGGGGTAGTTATTAACTATACCTTAGGGAAGAAATGAATGTCAACTGACATGCGCCATTTAAATTACAGGAGGAAATTCATAGGATTATAGATTTAGAGTTGTAAGAGACTTCAGAAGTCATTGAGTCAAACCCCATCATTTTGTAGATGAGATAACTGAGACTCAAGGAAATTGATTTGTATAAGATCTCACAGGGAATAAATACCAGAGTTGGGAATTGAATCTAGGTCCTCTGACTCCAGTGCTCATTCTACTGTGTCGACACAACTGTAGAGTGATAAAATATCCAGAACATATTCATCCTATTAAAAAGTGCTCTGAGAACTTTAATGGCTTTAGCTTTACATCTAATCTAAATATATTACTTACAATAGTACTGTATCTATTTCTGTCATCATAGGGCTCTGGCTTGATAAATACTACCAATAAAGAGTACCATTCAAGTGCTAATGTGACTCAGTTTTAGGCTCAATAGGGTTAAAAACAGGATTAGGATATCTAATCAATTTTGGTCACATTTATCATGACAATGCTATTGGAATTTGAAATTCATAATAGGACACAATTTATGAGTTTCTCCTTCACTAGTAGTTTGTTGTCTAAATGTAGAGTATCCTAAAATGGGGCAGTGACAGCTATCTCTACCTTTTAGGTATAAAAAAGTAGTAGTTACTTTTTAATGTTATAATACATTACTCTTTGGAGTCAGGGACCTGGATTTGATTATTGGTTACTGTAAGTGGGTTGCGGTAATTGATTGACTTAGTTGGCCCCCACCCTCATAGTGACCTTGAGCAAAATTGTCTAACCTCACTGAACCTCAATTTCCTCGTCTACAAAATGGGGCTATTAATATTTGAACCACCTAAAAAAATTTCAAATCTTGTTGCAATGCATGCCGTTATAATAAAATCTTTTAAAGCAATTTTCAAAGCCTAACTGATGTATGACCCTTTTCAAGCAATATCTGATAAAATAAAATTTCCTTCAGTTTGTTGTGAATTTAACTCAATTGAAAGGATACATTTGTCCTCATTCTCTTTGTCATCTTTGTCCTGTATCTTTTAGACAGAATCTGCGGAAAAGCTCAGAGAATATGGACTTTGCCATATATGTAGCCATCCTGTGCTGGTGACCAGAACTAGGTCTTGTCCACTTATAGCTCCACCAAAACCACCACCTGTACCTGCTTGGAAACTTATTCGCCAAAAGAAAGAGACTGTTGTGACAGATGAACCTCAAGGTTTGTTTCTTATTTGTTATCTTAGGAAATGATCATTTCTAATTTACTAATCTCCTGAATGAAGGCTTGCAGAGGCTTCCTTGTGATCCTTCAGAATGGTTGGACCAGTTCAGTATTCTACTAGTATTTCATTTGTGTACCTATTTTTCCCTCATCCCTTCCAGCATTTGTCATTTTTGATAGCTGTTAAGTGGTAACTCAGAATTATTTTAATTTACCTTTCTCTAATCAATAGTGATTTAGAGCATTTTTTCATGTGACTATAAATTGCTTTGATTAATTCTTCTGTAAACTGCTTATTTATATCCTTTGATCATTTATCAATTGGGGAATGACTCTTATTTTCATAAAGTTGGCACAGTTCTATACTCATTGTATATTTGAGAAATGGGGCCTGTATTAGACAAAGTTGCTGTAATTTTTTTTTGATATTTCTTCATTATCTATGGTACTTTTTAGCATAATGTAGTTTCCCTAATTATCTCATAATTATGTCTTGTTTTGCTTTTGCTTTATCTGAGATTCACGATTGCTATCCCTGCCTTTTTTATGCATATCAGATCCTACTCCAGTCCTTTATTATAACTCTGTGTGTATGTCTTTGTTTTTCAAGTGTGTCTCTTGTAAATAATATATTGTTGGATTCTGGTTTCTGATCTATTCTGCTATCTGCTTCTGTTTTATGGGTGAGTTTATCTCATTCATATTCACAATTATAATTACGGTGCATTTTCTTCTGTTTCTTACTCTTTGTTTTTATCCTGTCCCTCATTAAAAGTCTATTTTGCTTCTGACCACTGCATCCCTTAATCCCTTTTATCATCATCTCCTCTTTCTTTTATTCTCTTCCCCTCCTATTACCCTATTGGGTAATTTACATTTCTATATACAGCTGAATGTGTATATATGTTCTACCCTCTTTGAACCAATTCTGACGTGAGTGAGATTTAAGCATTGCCTGCCATTTCCTCCATTTCCCCTCCATTGTAAAAGCTCTTCCTGTACCTTTTTGTGTGAGAAGAATTTTCCCATTCTACTTCTCCCTTCTTCCTTTTCCCAGTGTATCCCTCTTTCTCACCCTTCATTCCAACATACTTGACACACCTATGCCCTATGTCTATGTAAACTCCTTTTAATTGCTGTAATAATGATAACATTCTTAGGAGTTACAGGTATCATTTTCCCATTTAAGAATGTAAATAGTTTAACCTTATTGTATTCTTTATGATTTCTCTTTTATGTTTACCTTTTTACATTTCTCTTGATTCTTGTGTTTGAATATCAAATATTCTCTTTAGCTCTGGTCTTTTCATTAGGAATGCTTGAAAGTCCTCTATTTTTTACATATCCATTTTTCCCCTCAAAGGTTTATACTCATTTTTGCTGGGTAGGTTATTATTGGTTATAATCCTAGCTCCTTTGCCTTCTGGGATATCACTCCAAGCCCTCTACTCTGTTAAAATGCAACCTGTTAGATCTTATATGATCCTGACTGTGGTTCCATGATATTTGAATTGTTTCTTTCTGGCTGCTTGAAGAATTTTCTCTTTGACTTGAGAACTCTGGAATTTGGCTATAATATTCCTGGGAGTTTTATTTTGGGATCTCTTTCAGGAGGTGGTTCACATGTTCTTTCAATTTCTGTTTTACCCTTTGGATATTAGGAAAGTTTTCTTTGATAATTTCTGGAAATATGATGTCTAGGCTCTTTCTTTGATCATGACTTTCAGGTAGTCTGATAATTCTTAAATTATATCTCCTTGATCTATTTTCAATGTTGAGTATTTTTCTGATGAAATATTTCACATTTTCTTCTATTTTTCATTCTTTTGACTTTGTTTTATTGTTCATTTATGACTTATGGAATCATTAGCTTCCACTTACTCAATTCTGATTTTTAAGGAGTGATTTTCTTCAGTGAGCTTTTGTACTTCTTTTTCTATTGTGAAAATTTTGCTTTTTAAGGAATTCTTTTCCTCAGTGGATTTTTGTACCTCTTTTATCATTAGGCCAATTCTATTTTTCAAGGTGTTATATTCTTCAGTATATTTTGTGCCCTTTTTTATTAAGCTGTTAATTTTCTCTTCATGATTTTCTTGTATCACTCTCAGTTTCTTTCCCGATTTTTCCTCTCCTCTTTTCTCTTCCTTTAACTCTTCCAGGAATCCTTGTTGGGTTTGGTTCTAATTAGTGGTTTTTTTTTTTTTTTTTGATTTTTTTTTTTTTTTTTGGGTAGCTGTTTTTACATTGTTGTCTTTTTCTGAGTTTACATCTTGATCTTCCCTGCCGCCATAGTAGCTTTTATGGTTGAAATCATTTTTGTTGTTTGTTATTTTTTCTAGTCTATTTCTTGACTTTGAACTTTATATTAAAGTTGAACTCTGCCCACCTAGGGGTGGGGAGGCACTGTCTCATACTTCAGGCTCTTTTCATGCTGCTGTTTTCAGAACTAGTTCTGGGGGTCTATAAGTTACTGATGATTCCAAGGTGGTGTGATCTTGGGAGAGGTATGATCACTGCTCTCCTCATCCATGCTCTGATCTTTACTCAGGAAGGGCCCCTGGTCCTCTGCAGCCATAAGCATTTAGCACTTGTCTTTGCTTTGGAAGTGTGATCAGTGCCTCTGCTCCCTTATGACTATCAGCTCTTCTCTCTGTTTTGGAACTGTGACTGAGGACTGCAAATGTTCAACTGAGTTGCCAATCAGTGCCAGCTGTACCCAGTGCCTGGAAAGGGTCCCTGTCATCACTTTCTGACCAGTTGTCCAACCCCCTTACTGTCTGTGGACTGAGAACTTCTGGCTGCTGCTGCTGCCACATGTGTGGGTTTTATCACTGTTGTCAGGGACTTTTCCTGTCAACCTCTTAAGTTTTCTTAGGCCAGAAATAATGTCTCACTCTGACTTTTTGTTGGTTCTGCCACTCTAAAATTTGATTTGAGGCATTACTTTAAAGTTGGTTAGAGGGAAATGTTGGAAGAGTTTAGCTGTGTGGATGCCTGTAATATACCATATGGCTCCCTCATTCTCATATTTTTCAAGAAAAGACATCCCCTTAGACTTAAAATATGTTCAAAGTTAAACAAAATATTTCAATTGTGCCCCTATGAATAATCTAAATAAAATTATTTATAAACCTATGTCATATTGTAATATCAATACAACTATTTTGGAAGAATTGCAAAATTGTCATATGCTCCTATTTAATTAATATAGCTATTACTATAAGATGTATTTCATCATTAAATGAAAGGCTAGCAGAGACATTCCCGAGGGAAATTTTGAGGAACATAACAATGGCTAAACTTATTAGTACCTTGAACTTCCTTCAGAGCAGAGCTTCTGACAAGTGGAAGCATGTGTGTTTATATTTTATTAATGTAGTAGATGGTGAATGAAATCGATGGCTTTAGTGGAGCAAAAGTATAAGAGGAAGATTTTTCCAGTTGATTATTACTATAATCAATAGAAATATTTATTTTATCTACATATTTCCCCCCATATTTTATATTTAGTACCCACTAGTCATTTAGTTACTTTTTCTTCACCACTTTTTGGGACAACATATCCTTTTTCCTGAATAGTAAATATGAATGGAATATTTCCACTAACCCCTCTTAGTCTAACTTCTGTGTCCAATACTCTGCTGAAACTACTTTCTCAAAGGTCACCACTAACCCCTTTATCAGCAAGTCCAGAGTCCTATTCTCAGTCCTTATTGTCCTTGACCTCTCTGCAGCTTTTGACATTGTTTACCTCTTAACTGTAACACTCTTCCCTTGGCTTTTAAGATGTTATGTTTTCTTAGTTCTCCTTCTACTTTTAACTTTAAAAAATATGATACTAACAATAATAAATAGGTACAAATATTTCAACATCTGAGAGGAGCAAGAATACTATTATATATGAAATGTTAGCTTCTATCACATACCATTGGTTTTTAAATAATATGTTACATTTAAGGAGTTAGCAAAATTAAAAGGCATATTTATTTATGACCCTTTCTGAATTTCTTTTTTTTTTTCTGTGATTTTAAAATGTTTTGTTGGTACTTTTTTCTTTTTGTTTTATGCTTCTTTCTTTTTAAAAAATTTCTCCTTCACTATCTACTAGCTCACCCCTCCCTTTATTAGAAGCCATTGCATGCAACAAGAAACAAATAAATATAGGCAAACATAACAAATGAACACATTGGCTGTGTGTGTCTGAAAATATGTGTCTTACTCTTCACCTCTAGTCCATTATCTCTCTGCCAATCAATCAATCAGCATGCATTTATTAAGTGCTTACTATGTGCTAGGCACTCTATTAAGTGCTAGCGATACAAAGAAAAAGCAGCTTCAGTCTCGGACCTCACTCTAATGTGGAAGACAGTGCATGTATAAATAATAAGCACATGCAAAATAGGTAGAGAGATCAAGATGATCTTAAATGGGAATTCAGCAGCTGAGGATACAGTATTTCATTTCCTGAAAAAGATGGTATTTGACATGAATCTTGAAAGAACTAAGGTATTTTAAGAGGCAAAGGTGAGGAAAGAGAGCATTCCAGACATAGGGGACTGTCAGTGCCAAGGTACAAAAATGGGAGATGGAATATCATGTATGAGAATCAATAAGCGAGCTAATATAGCTGGACAAAAGAGGGCTTAGAAGCTCTTTACTCCATTGGTCTAGGGTCCTTCCCATGGAATTCTGGCTCTTTTTTATAAAGGACATGTGCTCTGGCCCCTTTCTAAAGAACATACATGGTCTCTGGTTGCAGTAATAAGGGACTGATGAAAGAAAAACAAAACAACTATCAAGAGGTCTAGATCCCAGCTGTCAGCAAATATTATATAATTCTGAATGATGCATTGTTCATTAGTTAATGAAGGTGTCCAAATCAAGATCCATGAAGGTTTCTCTAATCAGTAATAGATTAAGACCCAGATGCTAAAATAATTCTGTGGGTAAATAATAATGTTAAATGCTAAAATAATTTGGTGGCACAGTGGATAGAGTGCTGGGCACATAGTCAGGAAGACACTGAATTCACATCCAACCTTAGGCACTTATTAGCTGTTGTCAGACTCTGGGTAAGTCACTTAACCACTCTTTGCCTCAATTTTCTCAACTGTAAAATGGGACTAATAATAGTACTTACCTCACAGGGTGGTTGTGAGGAACAAATGAGGTAAAATTTGTAAAGTTCTTAACATAGTACTTGGTGATTATAGGATACACACATATGTATGTATATGTATATGTATGTGTATATGTATATACATATATATATATATATATACACACACACACACACATACATATACATAAACATACTTACTCCCTTCTCACCCCCCTTTCTCCTTTCTCTTCTTTATTTGCCTACCTTTGGAATAAAAATACCTTTTTAAGAAAGGTGAAGAGAATCTTGTGACTGTAGGTAAGACTAAGAGTATAAGAACCTAGCTATAAGCAAATAGGTATCTATGGCATGCACTTATCTTTTCTCATGACCATTTCACTTTCATCATCTAGAAAACTTTGCCATTATGATACATCTTGTTTTATACCTGGTATTTAATAGGCAATTGATAAATACTTGTTGAACTAACCAATTAATCACTCTTTTCAGATCCAATAATAGGGAAACCTGAACAGTTTCTTGAGATTTGTAGCACATTTTTGAATTACAGAATGAATCCAATTCCAATTCCAACAGAAACGTAAGTATATCATATTATTTCCTAACAAATGGACATTTAACAACAACAACAACATTATATTTTGTACTTTGTTTCAGAAGAAAGATCCCAATCTATTAAGAGGGAAAGGAATATAATGATTAGTGCTCATGTGCATTGCATTGTTTCAAGTTTTGAGTTTAGGATTTGTTAAAAAGAAATGGTCCTTGCTTTGAGCAGCTTATAACTTATTACTGCTAATTCTATTCAAACCCTTAAATATTCTTCAGCATTTATTTTGTGCCTGATCAGTAATTTGCTAGATACCATGTTGATTACATGGTATAATGTATAAAGAGATATATGACATAATTCCTGTCCTTAATGGCCTCATAATCTTTTTGGTGGGGAGGGCAGTGATGGGAAGGAAAGTAAACTAACATTATTTGAAGCAATTTAGGAAGAATATAAGATGTATCAAAACTAAACATAATAAAATTCAAATAAAATCAAGAGTCAAAATATATTGTACAGTTGGCTCTGTGGTTAGTCAGGAAGGGGCCATGTTTCTATATTTCCCCAACTCTGAGTCCATCGTCTCCTTGGCTCCTTTCTCTCATTCACTCACATGCATTCTGGTGCCAAGTCTCGTTGTTTCTACCTTCAAATTACCTCTCATATATTTCCCTGTCTTTTCTTATATAGCCACCAGCCTCATGAGGTCTTTCGTCACTTCATGCTATACTATTGTAATAGGCTTCTGGTTAGTCTTTCTAACTCAATGTTCTCCTCACTCCAAGCCATCTTCCATTCAGCTGACAAAGTCTGTAAGTCAGCAATAATTTATTAAAACACTATGTTCCAGGCACCATTCTGGTGGTACAAACAAAGGCAAAAACACTTCCTGCCCTAAAGGAAGTATATATTCAGTCATTTTTCAATTGCTTCTGACTCTTTATAACCCCATTTGGGTTTTCTTGGCAAACATACTTGAGTAGTTTGCTATTTCCTTCTCTAGTGCATTGTACAGATGAGGAAACTGAGGCAAACAAGGTTAAGTGATTTGCCCAAGGTCACATAACTAGTAAGTATCTGAAGCCAGATTTGAACTCAGGAAGATGAATCTTCCTAACTCCAGGCCACATTCTATCTACTATGCCACCGAGCTGCCCCTAAGGATGTATATAGCCACATGCTAATGGGCTTGACAGCATATAAAGAAATATGTACATACAGAATAGAAGGTAATATTGGAGGGGAAGGATCTGTAATCTTGGCGTAGGGTTGGTGAAACTGGGAAAGGCCTCCTGTGGATGATGAGATTTGAGCTGAATCTTGCAAGAAACCAATTGGTAATCATTTTCATAGAGATCATAATTAAAACATGGGAGCTGATGGGATAACCAAGTATGAAAGTATCAAGAGAAAAGAGAGAGGAGATAGAAAAAAGAAGGTGGCCCAGGACAGAAACTTTTAGGAAACCCCAGTTAGTATTTGTGTGTGAAGTCAGTGAAGATCCACACTGTAAAAGATGTGGAACAAGGATGTGTGGCATCATGAAAACCTAGAGAGGAAAGAATATTCAGGAGAAGAAGGTGATCAACAAATACTTTATAGAATTCAAGAGAGTGAGGACTAATAAAAAGCCATTAGACTATGGAAGTTAAGACACCATTAGTAACTTTGTAAAGAGAAATTTCATTTGAATGATGAGGACAGAATTGATACTGGAGAGGGTTTAGGAGAGAATAAGAGGAAAGGAACTGGAGATACCTTGTATAGATGATTTTTCAAGAAGTTCATCTAAGAGACAATTGCTGTTGAAAATGATATGATCATGAGAAGGGTTTTTTTAAAGGATACAGGAGACATAGGCATATTAATAGGCATAAGTGAAGGAACCAATAGATAGGGAGAGACTGAAGATTAGAGAGAGGGGATGATAGTGGGAGAAATCTAAAGAAGCCAGGACAAAATGGAGTCCAAAGTGCATGGACCACTTCTTCATTAGACAGAAGTGAAAGAAATGGTTGAGGTAGATGTTTGAAGTGTGTAAGTTAAAAAGAGGGGAAAAACAGCTCTCAGTGAATGACTTTTTTTTTTTTTTTTGGGTGAAGTATGAGGTGAGAAAAAATAGAAAAGGGTACTGTCAGAGACTTAAGGAAAAGTAAGAAGGTTTGAAATTGTGGACAGTGGAATAGAGAATAGATTAGGGATATGTGGGAGGATTCATTTACTACAATAAAGACTCACTTGAGATTAGATAGCATAAATTTGTAATGCACTCAAATAGCACATGACTTCCTTTAGCTGTCTTCTTTAGCACATTAATAGGAGCAAAGAAGTACATGTGGGGAGTAATCCAGAATTACTGTTTGGTCTGGTATGATCAGTGAAAAGTAAAGAGGGAAAAGGATTGGAGAATGAACAATAGTGTAGAATTGAGCTGGTTCACCATGGGTTCAAGATCAATAAGGGTGAGGTCTATAGCCAGTTCAAGGATGATGCCCTGGAAAGAACTCAAAAGGAATCATAAGACAGAGAGAAAGATGGTGTGTGTATTTGGCAGACAGTAGTCCTGTTTGGCTGAAATAGAGAATTTGTGGAAGGGAGTTCTGATAAGGCTAGTGATCTGATGGCACATTATGGAGAACTTTGAATGCCTGAGAAAGGAATTTTAACTTTTGGTAGTCAGTAAGGTACCACTGAAGATTTTTGCACAGAGCCATGACATGACCATATCAATTTTCATAAGAAGTAACGTGCTCCAGAATAGATTAAAGTAGAAGGAGATTGGAGTCAGGAAGGTGATTGTTGCCATAGTCCAAAGGAGAGGAAAGATTTGAAAGATGTTGCAGAGGTCAAATTGACAGACTTTTAAAATTGATTGAATATGAAAGAAAAGAGAGAGGGAAGAACCAGAAATAATGCCAAGGTTATGAACGTGGAGTGATGTTACTCCAGATGAGAATAATGAAGTCAGAAGGAGAAGCAGGTTTGGAGAAAAATATAATGAGCACAGACTTGGATACTTTGAATGTGAGGTACCAATAAGATAATGAAGCAGTAATGTTCTATATGCAGTTGAAAATTCCAGGCTGAAACTGAAAATGGTTAGTATTGGTGATGGAGGTTTGAGAGCAGTGGGCAGTTCAGATTGTGGAAGTGAATGAAATTGTTAAGTGAGAGAATGTAGAGACAGGTATTTCTCTTAAAGAATATTCTTATAAAGCAGATTAAGAGAGCATGGGATAGTTTATCTGTCAGATTTATGCATAAGGGAAGAATTTAGGACCAAAGAAGATACAGAGAACATTACAAAATGTAAAAAAAGATAATTTTGATTATATAAAATTTAAAAGTTTTCATATAAATAAAATCAGTGCAACCAAAATTATAAGAAAAGCAGAAAACTGGGGAAAAAATTTTGAAACAAGTATCTCTGATAAAGGTCTCATTTCTCAAATATATAGAGAACTGAGTCAAATTTATAAAAATACAAGTCATTTCCCAATTGATAAATTGTCAAAGGATATGAACAAGCAGTTTTCAGATGAAGAAATCAAAGCTATCTAGCGTCTTATAAAAAGATGCTCTAAATCGCTGTTGATCAGAGAAATGCAAATTAAAACAACTCTGAGATATCATCTCACTATCAGAGTGGCTAATATTACAAAAAAGGAAAATGTTGGATGTTGGAGGGGATGGGGGGAAACTGGGACACTAATGCACTGTTGGTGAAGTTGTAAACTAATCCAACCATTCTGGAGAGCAATTTGGAACTAAAAGGGCTATTAAACTGTGCATACCTTTTGATCCAGCAATATCACTGCTAGGTCTATATTTTAAAGACATCCAAAAAAGGGAAAAAGGACCTATTTGTAAAAAAAAAATATAGCAGCCCTTTTTGTGGTGATTAAGAACTGGAAATCAAGGGGATATTCATCAATTGGGGAATGGCTAAACAAACTGTGGTAATTGATTGTAATGGAATATTATTGTGCTATAAGAAATGACTAAGCAGGTTGGTTTCAGAAAAATCTGGAAAGATTTACATGAACTTAATGCATAGTGAAGTGAACAGAACCAGGAGAATGTTGTACACAGTAACAGCAATATTGTTTGATGAAGAATTGTGAATGACTTAGCAATCCTTAGCAATGCAATGATCCAAGACAATCCTAGAGGACTAATGATGAAGCATACTATCCACCTCTAAAGAACTGATATTGAGTGAATACAGACTGAAGCATGCTTTCTTTCTTTCATTTTTTTTATTTGAGCCTTCTTGTATAAAATGACTAATACGTAATTACACATGTATAACCCATATCGGATTGCTTACCATCTAAGCGGGGTGGGGATGGGAAAGGGGAATAGAATTTGGAACTCAAAACTTTAAATAAAAATGTTAAAAAGTTTAAAAAAAGAATACTCTTATAAGAAGACCAGGAAGTGAATGTTGAATCATTGGATGAATGAATGAAAAAAATTCATTAGGCACTTATTATGTACCAAGCACTGTGCTCATCACTGGAGATACAAATACGAAATAAAGATAATCCCTACCATAGAGAGGCTTACATTTGAGTGGAGAGACAACAAATGTATAGAAGTGATGGTCAGAGACGGGCAAAGTCAGAGGGATAGTCAAAAGACCCAGAGGATAGGGCAATGATGCTATCTATTTGTAGACAAAGTGGTTAAGTTTGTAATGAAAAATAAAATTTAATTAAGCCTCCAAACAATGGTAATATTGATTTGATTACGATTCCTGGAGCAAGAATTAGAAAGTAAAGCAGTGGAGAAGATAGACATAGCAGCACAATATGGTAGGGAGGGTAGAGCCAATAAGATGTAGTGAAATCTCACTAATCAGCACTGCCTCACGTTGGGAGCTGGAGACCTAGTTGGGAGAGTACGAGACAGGAAACTGGAGTGACAGGGCAGGAAAATTGTGAGGTGAAATATTTGTGACCAGCAAGATGTAAGGAACTCATACCATTAAGCACAGCTATTCAGGACTAGTTGTAGAGGGGAGT